CAGGAATGAACTTTGTAAACAACCAAAGTCAGGGGCCTTCGGAACTGCAACCTCTTATCCCCATCACAGAATGTCCTGCATCTTTGGGTACAGTTCATCTGCTGCGAAAAACATTCAACAGGTTTTGTACAAGGATATACTCACAAGTGAAGATTTGAATACTAGACATTCTTTGTGCTGCCAAATTTTTTGTTGCAGTTTATTTGTAATGTCTGGTTAGGCTTCGTTAGGGAAGAGGGGCCAGGGATTTAAAGGCAAAAATGCTATTCCTTTTTATCAGTAAGCTGAAGCCTTCAAGTAGTATATCTTACAAGTTCTCTAAAAGATGTGAGTCTTCAAGCTCAGAGGAAGGTTTGAATCTTGTTTCGTGTGTTTCTCCTCTAGCATTAAAGATGTACTCATGCACATCAGCAGCAGTAGGTTAGACTACTGAAGCTGGTGCTAAAATGTGAATTTCCAATTTTGTTTTGTATGTGGGCGTTAGTGGCCTCAGCAGAATACTTCAGTTCTCTAAGAGAAGTCCATGTAGATTAGGATGGGGATAAAGTTCATCCTTTTCTCAGAAGGATTGGATAAAACCATTTCCTCTGCAACAACTATTATCTGAAGCCTGCCTCTCCCCCCTTTTCCCATCCTCTAAATCAAATCAAATATTAATTGTGCCTTATTTCGCTTACATAGACTTGAATTGTTTTAAGGGACAGCCCCCAAATTGCGGTTTCATAGTCACTACAAGCAGCATTGAGACTGAAGTTGGAATGTTCTGTTGACTGGAAAGCCTTGATGTCATTCTGTGTATAGAATGTAAAAGAGGAATACTCAGTGTTACTGCCATATGTTAATACTACATATACTTAAATTAGCATTGTGATGGCCAAATGCATACTCCCATGCTTCTTTTTAATGAATTACAAACACACAAAAAAGTCACCCTTCCTCCTTTTCCAGAAGCTGCCTAACTTTTGGGAGCATAGCCTTCACACCCCTGTAGAATGAAGGGGCGTTGCGCGCGTGTGTCTGTGTGTGTGTCTGTCTGAATGCAAGATGTGGGAGGGATTGTTTCTGCAGATATTGTAAATACAAGTACCATTTTAATAAAGCATGTACAATACCACATGTGCTGTCAGACTTTATATAGTAGCTGTTAAGCAGAGCTGGAAATGATGAAATACAAAGGGGAAGAAGTCTTGGATATGTGAAGCATCCATCACTATTAATACTGCTCTTTGTCTAGTTGTTTTCCCTTTCAAGTCCCAGCTGTTGAGGAATCTTGAGGACTTACTCAGGTAAGCTGTATTTAAGAGAGTAAACCTATGCCAATGCATTTATGGTGGGGAAAAAGAAGTAATGTAAATAAAGCATTTTAGAAACTCAGTGTAATGTACAGTACAAGGAATATGTCTCATGGCATTAATAGGACAAGAACAGCAGCTTTGTGGCTTATGTCTGTGTACCTCTGCAGATGTCACCTGTAATAAGTCTACAGTAACAATTTATATATATACACATTCTGTGGAACTGTAAACTGTGAAATTCCAGAGTTGACTACTTTTTTATTCCTATTTGACTGAAAGAGATTTATATTGATGTAAATGAAACAAATAAACAAAAACTCCTCTGTTGAATCGTGTAACTCAAGTGTCCTAGAAGGCAGATTGAATGCTGTTGCTTGCATATCCAGCCTTGGAACAGAATAGTTTTTGCATGGAAGAAGTAACAGAAGTAGAGCTCTTTCTCCATAAATTTATGGCTGCAGCGTCCTGTTCAGGCTGGACAATTCTGAGAGGTGTGAATTCAGTAAGCACTGGCTTCTGCTTGGGTCACATCGTTATAAGCTGAGCAATAGTACAATATCCAGGCTTGGATTGAGTGTCTGCTAATCATCTAACTCTGCTGAAATGCTGGGCATGCTGCTGTAACTAACCATGGAAATATGTGGTTTAGATGGAACAGTGGAAGCTAGCAATATAAATAAAAGCTTCCTTCCATAGGACAGGGGCTAGGAGTAATGAAACACCAGTTCTATATCTGGATGCTTCACTAGAAAGTTGTTTTCTTTTAACTAAATCTCACTATAAAAGGTTTTTACCCTACAATTACAGTATGCCTTTCACTTTTAGCTGTTGCATTTCATCATGGCATCCAGATTGTCTACTTGTGGAGCAGTAAAAGGCAGCTTACCCAACTATCTCATAGGACAATCAGATAAATACTTTTTTCTGCATTGTTTTTGGTAAAATACACATGAAAATACACATACATGTTACAGCTTCTACCATACAAAGTCATGACTGGAGGTTCTTAACACTCAGTTTCTCTGCTCTTCACTCATTACAGCCATTAGTATTGCTACATCTGGCATAGCATTAGCTGTTCATCATGCTTATATCTGCTTGATGTACTAGCTTCCTACTAGAGAAAGAAAGGTAGTTACATGCCCTTCTGCTGTTTTTTAAAAAATGTTGTAAAAGCATAATGCTTAAAATTTAACTTTTAGGATTGGCTGAACAAGATGGGTAAAGCATGAGTTTTGTTTTAAAACATCTTAATAGTAACTCTGAGGAATACAAAACTTATCCCATGGCAGCAGAATGTTGCGTAGACTTAATTCTGTATTTTGATGTCTAGTGGATTTAAATTACCATCATCCGTCCTACATACAAAGTCAGTAGTGATCTAAAGCTGATAATCTAAAAAAAAAAAAGTTCTTTAAAGCTCAGAGTAATATATATATAAAGTTGACATATACAAAGCATAATTGAGAATAACGTCAGATTTATCTAACCTTCAGTGCAGCTGCTATAATAATTTGATGGAGGTGTTCATCCTTGGAACATTTGTGTCAATCACTTGGTCAAAATTCACTGTTAAGTAAAATGCTGGGCAGGTTGGTACTGACTCTGTTAAATTTTGTTTAAGCAACATGAGGGTCTGGAAGGGAGACTTTCTCATGATCCATAGGAACAAAATACATTTTCAGTTAAATATATGACTTGATTTCCTGGGCTAGACTTAGTGTTAAACTAGTTTGAACCATTGTTTGTTTTGACACTTCTGCCTCATTTGTATGCCGCTTCCCAAAAATGCTACATTATGGCAGGAAATATATTTTTAAACCTTCTTGATTTTAAATAAAAATTTACCATGTTGTTACTTGATCTGAACATCTTGAACTTCCAGTAAGGACTACAGAATTATCTTTTCACATGCTTGTACTTGTTTGTATCTTTTTACTGAGCTAGATCTACTTTTCCTTGGCCGAGGTTTTAAGTTTTCTATCCTTCAGGGTTGGACACAGAATCTAAAATCAGTCTGGCACTCTGCTGATCTTGCTTCACTTTAAATATCTTAGTTCTAAGCTATATTCTAACCTTACTTTTCTTCCTGCAAAATCAGTTTGATTTTACTGTCTTCATTGCAAAGGTCAGTGAGCAGTTAAACCTTGCATAGGCTTTGTTTGAGTCTCTTTGATAATACAGTAAGAGTTTGTGGGGTTTTATTTCCTCTAGGAAAAGATACTATTCCTCTGTGTAGAACAGTACAAAAGATTTGGCTATTTATTCCTTTCCTCCTTAACACAAGTTAAGGAAGCCTTGAAGGCTTACTTACATATGGAAAGCAAATAAATAATTAGGTATGAATGTTACTGCTAAATCTTTCTACTGGCTTCTAATTTACAGTTAAAGGTGAATGTTTCCTAAGAGGTGCTCACAGACTGGGTTTAAGGTTGCTTTGATAGAACCTGTGTGCCAAGGTTGTCTCAAATACAGGTGAAGGGTTGTTTCCCTGAAACCCCAAAAGCACAGAGGCTGAAGACAGCAGGGAAGAAAGCTCTTAAGACAACAGGTCAAGCAAGCCTAATGTAGCTCTGGGATTTATCAGGAAAAGATCATTGGCTATGCTCAGTCTCCTCTACCTGGAGCCAAGGCAGTGTCATTTGTCACCTCAGCAGTGCCTGAAGCAAAGGCTGCACAGTAGAGGCTGCTGTGAATGCAAACTGTTTTCCATTCATTCTAATGCTTTATCTCCCCCAGAAATCCAAATCCCTGTTGCACTTCAGGAGCATAAGTCACACAGACCAGGCTACTGCTGCTCATTATAGGAAAATATCTAGTCTTCATCAGGAACAAGAGCCAGCTTGAGTTTTCCCTTCCCTTTTAAAAAGCCTCTAGAATCCAATATTTTGAGCATGACAGGAATCTTCCTGAGTTTAAGGCAGGATAGTGTTTTGAAGTATTGGTATGGTCATTTCTCAACAGAAGAAATGAAGACAAATCTAGAAAGTCTTCAAGAAGCACATGGGAGAATTTTTAGACAAGGAAAGGTCCAAGACCTGCTGAGTGTTCAGTAATAGACCACTGATAGAATACAACCACTCAAGTCAAGGTTGGATTAAATGGACCTAAAAGGCATCAGAAGGCATGCTGGATACACACGCAGGTTCAGAGACAAATTTATGGCCTTGCAACAAGGTACATCAGTTACTGAGAGGGGATTAACCACGTGAAGCCAGATAGAGAAACAAGCAGCAATGTAAGTATTGTATTTCCCACCTCTCTGCAAGGAAAGAGGGGGAAGATTCAAGCCCATGGGAAGTGAAAGGGGCATTCCTGGAAGGCAGCCAGAGTTGTGGATGGACTTGTTTTTGTCCACCCCACTAAAGGGACACTATCTAAGCAATTCTAGAGGGCAGCAGGTAAAGTATTCATTCTCTCAGGTAAAGTATTCGCTCTCTTTGCTTTCCACCATACTTATTACTCACCTGTAGTGGTTTTTTTGAAAATACCCAGTCATGTGGCAAAAACAAATCAATACTGAACTTGAAGAAAGCTGGCTCACATCCCAAGAACCACTTCAGCCCTTAACAGGCTGGGTTTCCACAATACCTCAGTGCACTAGAAATTCCTGTGCAAATCTACACCCTTACACTCTTTCAAGTTGTTTTTCTTCATACTTTGGGGGGGGGAAAGTTGATATACAACACTAGTTGATATACAACATTAGGATTTTTTTGTTGTTTTTATAAAATATTTGAGGATAATCACAAAATTACACACACTAAAAGCTTAATCTGCACATTTTCCAATGAAAAAGTGAAAGGAAATATCTTAAATTTATTACTTGTATATACAATTTCAATCCAAATTTACATTTGCATCATTTTCATGGATAGCAAAAGGCATGGATCAAACATGGGATTGAGATGTGTCACTTCAGCATATTTGTAGGATATTTACTTATAATCTTGGTATGTGTTTGTTTAAATTTATTTAGAAACAGGCCACTGACAAAAGGCTGGATTTTGTATTGAAATGGTAGAAACTGTAGGAAGGTCACTGCTGCCACCCATTCCTTTCAATGCAAACATCCATCATTTGTTTCAGTGAGATTCACAAGACAAAGACTGAAAAATTAACAGTCTTGCTATAATAAAACCCCATCCATAGCTGTGCAGTCAGATTAAGGCATCTGTGCTAGACAGAACTTTTTAACTTTAAAGTTAACTGGAGTGATTTCTGCAGTTAACTAACCAAAAGCTGGAATTCCTCTCACCTACCCCTGGAAGAGGTAAGTTATCCACTTCGTTCTTTCTGAGTCTTTAAAAACAAAGCAATGAAGTTAGTAAGACATGTAAACATCCCCATCTTTCAGCTATAAAAATGGACTTGTGTTTGAATAACTTATATTCAGTGAATTGTCTTTAGACCTGTTTGAAATCATTTAGGCTTAGCTAGCACAATTTAAGCAGAACTTAATTCAGATACTGCAAAATAAAGCAAATAAAATTTACAAGAAATACTTCGTTTCCCTCCAAACTAATTATTACTTGAAATATGGAGAAAAAAAAATTAAAAATGATGCCTCTCCTATTGGAGTTCATAAGAGAATTCAAATGAAGACACCTCTCAAGCCCAGAATAATCTGAATAGTTTGCTATTTTAACAACCTGCACAAAATGTAGGTGAATGTTAATTTAAGACTCTATGAAATCAAAAGCTCAATTTTCCCCTGTAGTTTTTTGTTCCTTGAGTTATTAAAGAACTAGCACTGAAGGAAATATCTGCAAAACTATCCCAGTTATATGCACTCAAACTCCATAATTAATAAAATGCCAACTATGGAGACCCTGAAAAAACCAGAAACTATATCTTTAAACAGAATCCAGAAATGCAGTTTCATATATAGCTGCGTGTTCTCAAGTGCTTTTGCACAAAAACATCCTTTTTGATAGTTAGGTTCAAAAGTAAACCAATCACAGAGATGCCCTCCTTTCCATTTAATATTCTACATATAACGTAATCTTTTTTGCTTTGGTAAAATACAAATGATGGGGAAATCTGAGTAAGGAAAGCACAGTAAATAACATGGTTGTTACCTTTTTTAAGAAATCTGAGCTGAAATGTAAGGCATCCCCCAAAGTATTTTTTGCATATGCAAGGAATGCAGTTCTTTGTAAACAAAAGCTTGAGAAAAGCAATACTGAAGCCAAAGAATCTTCCCCTAGGATCCTTTCAATGATCCCATAACCAAGAGCAACTCTCCTAGGGCAAGTGTTTTGGAACTACATCCTGTGAAAAAGAGAATCCAATTCTTTGTCATTCCATACGTTTTTAATCATGTAGTAGATTGGCTCGCCTAGAAGATCTCCAAATTAAGAGAGTGATGTCAAGGTTGATTCTCAAGAGCACGGGCTCATCCAAAGTCTATTTTTCTGGTATATCACTTTCTATGGATTTCGTGGCAGCATTGCTATAGCTCGTGGACGCTCGCACAGTATTCCCACTGGTAATGCTTCCCAGTGCCTGGGACTGACAGGGAGTGGTGGGTTTAGTGGCAGGAAGTATTTTAGAAGAATTAGACTGATGTCTGCGATGACCTGAATCCTCACCTGTTGCAGCAACTGGTCTCTTTCTGCCAGATTCTTCACTAATAGGAGGCTGAAAATAAACATGGGCAGCCAGTTAGGTGTTTTGCTGTAAAGCCATTTTGCCTTTCCATACACTTAAAGGACTAAAAGGATTACACCCTTAGGATTTGTCAAGCTGCCTTTTGGTGAAATCACGGACTGTTTTCAAATTACTTTGCAGTAAAAATATTAGTACGCCAAATATTTATTTAAAATAGGTATTGAAACTTACCTCCACTCTGAAGTCCTCCAGTCTCTTAAATTTACTCAGGTATTCTTGCAGTTTAGGGTCAACGGCTGGAGTCTTGTACTGAGAGTATTTTAGGTAAGCCCAAAATTTTTCCAGTCCATACAGCTGACCTAGTAATGGAAGAAGATAATTTTAGCAATTTACAAATACCAAATTTAATTAAAATCTTAATTATTCACTGGTAACTATATGTTTACGGAGAACTGAAGACAAAAGAAATACAAACAAAAGCTGCGCTTGGGTTAGTTAACAAGTCAGTGCCAAGGAACTGGGATTATCTCCAACTAACATTACCCCAGTGTGAGCAGTGACAGGCCTGCGATAATTACCAGCTTCATAGTCCCTCTTTGTTTCTTCTTGGAAATCCTCAAATATTTCTTGTCTGAATTTCTTTTCCAGGCCATAGCTGTAAAATCTAAACAAGCATTCCAAGCCATACCTGGAACAGAACAGAGAAGTACAAAAATGTACCTTGTCTCTTTGTCTTAGAGAAACAGAGGTGGAGGAACTGGGAGAAAGGAAGGGAATAATATCCAAGAGCTAATGGGCAGCAGCAATTTCCTTTGTGGTCATTTTTTCCAGTATTTTTGTAAGGCAAGAACCGGTTTGAACAAGTGGAATGAGGTTAAGAATGTCTTCACCTACAGAAGGAAGAATCTTAAGAGTGTTAGTACAGAGCTGACTTGTCACAGTCAACAAGTTACAGGATTTTGTGGCATTCAGGACTGATTGCAAGTCAGGAAATGTTGCACATTTAGCTATTCATCTGCAAAACACAAATATATACTGATTTTTGTTATTAAAATAACTTATACACACAGCTATTTTAAAAGATTTACAAAGAGTCAAAGACAATACTAAAAACAATCACTTCAGATACACGTAAACTTCAGTCATTGAAAGGAATGGTAAGGCCTCAACGGTTTTTAATTTCCAGGAAAAAAATACCTGCAGTGTTCTTTTGCATCCCCTAGAGCAAGTTGTTTGAATTCTTCATACATTTTCTTGTTGAAGTGATCTCTCAAAAAAAAGGACCAGAAACGAAAAAGTGTGTTCATTTCTTGGGACTGGCCAATTCCCAACTGTTTCCTCTCTGGATGAAAAAAGAAAAGGGAAACCAAAAGTACTATTTTAAATCTTCAGCAGAATATTTTCAAGTGCTTTTCCTTTAGTAAACACACACAAGACCTTCTGGAAACTGCAGTTCAAATTGGAGGGTATTTTTTTGGTCAGGGAATGTAAATTCAAATGGAAAGCAGAGTTTCTAAAATAGAGGCATCAAATAAATTTTGCTTTCCTTTCCCAAGAAAAATTAAGGATGAGGAACAATGTGAAGAAAACTGGTATCAAATGACACGTGGTACCTCCTACCTAAAATTTTAGGAATTACATGGAGCAGCTTACCCATTAAACACTTTCGCCGGTATTTGTGGTACACCTGTTGAGTAAAGCCATTTTCCTTTAACAGTTCATGAGAAGGGTGCTGAAATTTTGGAAGAGAATTTGGGGTACAGCCGTAACCTGCTAGTGGAGCTCCTTCTGAAGGTGAGGCATTGGAACTGCTGAAGAAAAAAGCCAACACATTTCTGACCCACAAACAGCTTTTCTACAGAATCAGTTTTCACCCATCCTGACCTATGCAAGGACTGTCAGAGTAGTGCAGTCACCTGATGACTGCTACAGTGCCTGCTGTGGGCCCAGTCATCTGATCTTGGATGCACGTCAAGAAAATCAGATTTTGTACTAATATGTCAAAAAAAGAGGCAGTTTTGGACAAGGATAATTAAACATTACTGTCATGCTTGATTTTAAATGACCACTTAAAAGCAAAGTCACTGATGTGAACATCAGTGCCTCAAGTAATGTTACTGCTGCTATATCATGGATCAAACAACATGAACACCAGTCTGTCTAGCTTGCTTCCAGACAGTCTTGTATTCCATGTTTTTGTCCTTGATTACTTTTTCCTAGCTTCCACTATATTTATAAATTGTCTTTTATCACATCCTGTTTATCTATGAGAACTGAGAACTAACTGCAAACAAATTTTCCACAACAACAACAAAAAAAATTACCTCAGAGAGGAAGTTCTAGGCCTGTGGTCCTTGGAATCCATCACCCAACCAACGTGGCATTCTAAGGGAGGATTTGTACTGTGGCGTGTTTTTCTTTTTCTAGGAGTCTAAGGAAGTAAATGAAGGATTTATTTCCCTAATTTGACTTCACTCATTCTCTCCCTCTTAAGACAGAGATCTAAAAATTTTATATTCTATTATCTAACATATTATAAAGTCAAAAAACTCCAGTTTCATAACCTAAAGGTTAGCCTTATATAACAAATCAAAAATTTTTAGGCACTAAACTTTCAGCAAGGACTTTTAAGAAAGAAAACTCAGAAAAAATTTAATAGAAATAAAAAAAATTGAATACGGTAAATATTTTGGAGATAAAACTATAAAAGAGTACGAGCATTTAATTTTTTGCCTTTTAATTCTTGTTAAACTGTTTGCACTAACATGAGTTTTATAGGTTTTTTCTGTTTGGTTTTTTTTAGTGTGTTTTTCCATTTACCTTTATATCAAAGGATCGTGCTTGTTTAACAACAGGGTAGAACCTGGGTGTTTTTTTGGGATCCTGTAGCCTTGGAGTGCGAGGTGTTCGCGGGATCAAGCCAGGGTGAAAATGGTGGGAATCTGGAACTGCTGTTGGCAGTGATCGAGCTATTCCTGCTTTTGGAGGTACTTCAAAACTTAGGATGCTACAAGTCAGTTCTTTTGCTAAATATGAAGGCAGGAAGGAGAAAGTGAGGTGGTTTTATTAAACTACTTCAAAGATGCTATTAGTATGTAGGCTAGTAAATGTTAATACTACCACTAAGAGGTAAGATTTGGACATTGTGACTGCTCAGTAAGGTTATGATACAGGTAGAAAATTCTTCTAATCTCACTTCCTTCCATCCCTGTGTCCCAGAAAATTGCTAGTTTCTATAAAATGTTTCGCAACATCAGTTTACTTTACACATTGTAATTTCCAAATTACACAAAAAGCACCTGGTGCTGGTATATAGTGACAACAAAACAGACCACTGCCTTCAGATGGTCATAGGTATCCTGAGAAGTACAAATATCAGCATTGTGTCATTCAATGGAAACAATGCTACCGAAGAACAGCTGATAGTTTGAAAAGTGAGCAAAGAAAAAGTCCCTCAGACTGCTGACTGAACCAAAATTAAAATATTACACAGGCAGAAAAACTTAAAACACCTACAGAGTTGTTATTTATTCCAAGGATTCTAAAAAACAAATACTTTTACTTACCTTTCTGTAACCCTAGAGGTCCAGGAGGAACTTCTTGGGTTGGACCAGCCATTTCTGGTGCAAGAATAACAAATTCTTCCTTACTAATGAGGTTTAGCTTCTTAAAGTTCTCAATCTCTTGCTGAATTAGAGAAAGCAAATTGTAAATGCAAAGCAGGGTAACAGAGATCATCCTGAGAAACAAGAGCATTTCATAAAGAGAAAGTAAGCCAGAATTAACACCTAAGTACCCATGCACCTGCCTCAGGTGGGACATGTGTGTGTGTGCATGCTGTGCGTGAAAAATCTTGTTAAAACACTGTCAAGACCATAACCACAAAAAAAATATTCCCTCTTGTTGTTTGCTATTTCTCACTGTCCTCTTCATGTTTGCTGGTTTTCTTGGTCCATTTCCTTTGTAATAAAAAAAAAAAAAAATCCATATTCTGAATTCTGTTTATTTCTTGCTCTTATTCTCAACATTCATTTCTGTCTTTGTCAGCTTGTTTTTGCACCGACATGCTCCATTTGTCCATTAAGCTACTTCCCCTCTTTTTGCACAGATAAAGCCCCTTCGCCTCACCACTTAGTGTTTAGGTAACTCCATTCTATCATTCTAACAAACTACAAAGCAAACAGAACTTTAATATAAAATTACCTTAAAATTACTGTATTACTTTTTTATCATTATCTCATCTCAGACCAGTGCTCCCTTCCCCGCTAGGTAGGGGTTTGCAGTTGTTATGAAACAAACTATTCAAAGAACAAGAAAATATTGGAAAACTTGAACCATGTCCAAAATGTTAAAAATAGTTCTAGAAAATATTCATTCATTGTTTTTGGTCAAGTCTCTGACAAGGAAAACTTGAGTTTGCTTTCAACTGTAAAGATAGTTCAATAGATCTGCAAATTACTGACACTTTTCTGTAGCATTTTACAACTACATAGCAGATGGCTGAAATTAATTTGGGAACTGTTTGGACAGACATGGTTTTCAGGTCAAAAATTTAGAGAATTACCTTCATCATGGCATCATTTTCACTCTGATCCATCCACAAATCCTGTTCATAATAGTACAAGCCGTCATTAATGACTTTAGCAAGTTCTGATGTAATTTTTGCACGGCACACGTGGTTTCCAGTATTGTCTCCACAAGGATGTTTTTTCACATATGGTGGTGTCTGTGTTACAATCAAAATCTTGTTTACGTCCTGATCATCAATTTCATAATCAGAATCGCTGTCTGACCAATCAGTAAATTTATTCTTCTGACCCTGAATTTGTTCCATCTCTTCATCAAACAAAAACTCAAGTTCTTCTTGTTCTTGTTCTTCTGGAGGTGGGGGTGGTTTGTGTTGATCTGCTGTTTGATCAGGTATAGGAACAGTTTCCTAAATTGGAAAAGGTTTTATATTTGAATTGGATAATGATTATCCAAACTGTATTGCATTATCAAGTATCACATATGTTGATGTGAAAAATCTTGGTTTTCAGTATAATCTCAAAGTTGGCATTTGTTTATTTAAAAATAACTTAAAGGGCTTTAATTTTACCTTTAGTTGGACTGTGGATGCCCGATGCCTCTTCTTCACTTCTATCCAAGGTTCCGAGTCCAAATCGGGCAAACTTGTAGACAGTCCTTTAGACATTGTCTGAAAATTACTTGTTTCAGTGTTTTCCTTTGGACTCAGTGGGCTTCCCATTCTTGGAGAACTCGGTGCAGACTCTAGTAGTGGAAAACAGTAGTTCAGTTCCTGTTGTGGATTGTTTTGGTTTTGTTTTGCTGGTTTTTTAATTCTTTCACTGCTCGTTCTTTTAACCACAGCTACCATTTTTCTAACTCTCTGGTTAACAATGATCAAAGAATTTCTTCTCACTTTCAGGAGACAGTTTTTCACAGTTCACACAACATTTCAGGATCAAATCAATTCTAAGAACTTATTTACATGGAAAGTTTCTAACAGTCTGTGAGAAATTATGTGTTATTCAGAAACAAGAGCAGCATCATTAGGGATGTGTTTTCTCCATGCCATTCTCTATCTCCATGCATGGGTGCATAACTCCATCTTCATTCTTCCCATTTAATTCCAGCCAACATTTTAGTAAAAAATTTTCTTGCCTAGGGTTGTCAGCAAACAAACCCATCTCCCTATTAATAATGTGAATGAGTTTCCCATCCAAAACAAGGATGCACCAAATAAAGAGTCAACTTTCAGCTGCTATGAAAATGAAGCAGATTTTATGACTAATTTAAGATGAATATTAGTAATTCTACAGGACTGTAGTCCATCATTCTATATTCTGGCAAATGGTCACAGCCATAACACATAAGAGACATTTTGATCTACTTCACATCAGCCATGTGACTTTGCATGTGCAAGGCTGGCAGGTGGATCAGCTGAATAAACCATTAACAAATGTACAACTTCTATTGTGAAATCAGTATCAGGAGGCAAATTTCCTAAGCTAGACAGACACTCCTAAAATTATGTTTCTATACAGTAAATCCTTTACCAGCATGTGAGCCAAAAATTTGTCCTGGTATGAATTCTGGACAATTGATGAGCTGAGAAAAGTCAGTTGGAGGCAGGCTGCATGAAGGAGGACCTGGAATTGGCCACTTTTCTGGATCAACCCTTTTTCTTAGTCTCTGATCCACAGTTTCAACTTCTGTGCTGTCCTTTAGGGCCTGTGTGACAAACATACTTTAAAATCATCCAAAAAAGAAAAAACCCAACAACTTGGCCATTTATAGCCTCTTTATAAATCCTTGTCATTACAAACAGAAATTTTTCGTAACTCATAGCACTAACTTTAAATGGCAGCATAGAATTAACCAAGCAACTTCCCACATACATACTTCTGAATGATTTTACCTCCAAAATGAGTGCAGCATTTGTAGTCAGAGCTTGCATCCGACGGAAGCTGGCGATCAATGAAACAGGCAGAAATCCTTGTTGGTCCATCTTTCTCCTCAGAAAGAAGTCTCTTTCCAAATTTTCTGTGCTGAAATAATACTCACTGCAGAACGAAACATACAAATCTGAGCTTATTATAGGTTAAAGAAAATCCCAAAATAGCAACTCAGATTCCTTAATAAAGTCTTCCATTAAAAAACAGACAAAATCATTCTTCAACAGTTGTATCTTTTCAGCAAGACTTACAGAGCAGCAAGGATGCTTGACAGAGTAAGACACTTTTGACCCAGCACAGCACAGAAGGGTACAAATCAAAGCCTTGTTACATTTGCATATATGAACTACATAACCAAAAGCTACGCTCCATTTTTCTTTCACCCACCCCCCTCCCTCATTACTTACATGAAAAGAAGGAAACAATATTCTCTTAGCCTCCATACAGATGAAGGACAAGTACTGCTTACAGTCAGGGCATAAGTTATTTCCCACACAGCAGTATCAGTGCACCTTCATCCTGAACTGCATCTTTTATTGTCTCACTTTCCAGTGCATTAGAATGCTTAAATATCTTATCTGAGTGTTGAGGCATATATATACTCTGAATCATCAAGCATGCTTGTGGGAAGATGAGAAAACAAAAACAGTAATGAAACTTGTCATGAAACTGTACCAAAAGGCATAACAGTTCATGGAGAAAAAAAGTCTAAAAGAAGAGATGATGATTAGTGTATGAAGAGGGATAGGACATTTCAGAAATCTGATAATACCACAGAACAAAAGAGACGAGAGACAAACAGCAGAAAGACAAATCTTCAACAATGAAGCTGCTCTAGGAAATGATCAGGGTGTCAAGACGTTTTACACTTATTGAAGAGAAAAAGTAAGGAATTCAAATCATGATCTGTCACACAGAGCAAGAGAATGAGAAAACATTCTAGGAAAAAGAATGGAGAAACCCCCCAATTTAATCATGACAACTAAAATCTAGACCTTTCACAGAGCTTACACATCATACCATGATTTTGCACGTTACATCCAAGGAATACGACTCCTCATTGCGTTCAGGAAAACGCAGGTAGGAAATATTTAACGGAAAGCAATTAAAATTCTATGACATAAAAATAGAGGTAGTGCAAAAAGAAAACAAGAGGGTATTAAAATGCTGAGGAAAAAAGCAACACGTGCAAATGAAGATAATTCTAATTTCAACAAAGTGTAAAACTAAGTCTCTCCACTGAAGTTTGGATCAAGGTCAAAGTTACCAAGAGGAGGGCACTTCGAAGCCATCATTGACCTAAGGAGCACCTTGATACCATTTCTTTCTCTAATTTTTTGTAGTTAAAGAAATTTGAAGCAAAAGCTGGCTATATGAAACACACAGAATCACACACAGAATATTCTGAGTTGGAAGGGACCCACAAGGATCATCGAGTCCAACTCTAAAGTGAATGGCCAGTGACCTTGGTGTTATTAGCACCAACCAACACTCAGCTCCAAGAGAGAATGAATATAAAGTCTCAAAGTTGAACAACAAGACAGGACAAATGAAAACACTGCTATTAAATCAAAGCAAACAGAGAAGAGAATAGGGCTTCTGGAGAATTAAGCTCTTACTCAGAGCTAAGTATGATCAGTGAAGCAACTGTGCACAAAGAGTAAGTTGCCTTCAAGAATATCCTATTTACTGTTCTGAGCTGCTACATTCCTTTCCCCCCCCCAGTCTAGAAGATAAGCAAGCACAAATGCCATATACCAACATTTTACTAATGTTACCTTTACAGTCATACAGTAAAGGTAAAATCTTGTAACGATTCACCTAGTTAAAAATTCCACAAGCAGAAATGGACAATGACTGAACTTGACTCAAACTGCCTCACTTGATGTCCATCACTCTAGAAAAAGGAATGTGAAAGACCATTAATGATAAATGAAGACAACGCACAAGTTTGCTCCAAGTAGAGGGACAAACCTAAACACACACACACACACCCTCCAGCTTTTTTCTTCTTCCTTTTTCTCAGAGTCAATTTGCTTATTCTTTAATTAATATTTGAACTTTTACTTAATTCTTTATTTTCTAAAGCGAGAGGACTTTTAAATAGAGTTCTGCATTTTGCAGACTGAGGAGCTGCTAAGCACTGAAACTTTTCAGGCTGACAACTTCGGCCTGTAATTAAGAACACAGAAGATATTTTTGTATGCAATACAAATATTACTCTCTTGTACATCAAGCTGGTTCCTGGGACAAGCATAAGCTGCTTGACAGCAGTGTGTTTTTTCCTGTAATTACACATCAACTCAGTTGGACACAGTCTCTAAGATTTTTCCATGTTAAGCACGTAAACTTTTAAAATTTATCCATTCACTAGGATTCAATCTCAATTCTTTAATATATCCTAATTTATCTTGGACTCCATTAGAAACTCTGAGACCTACTAGTTTTGTGTGGCTTTATTCTGTAAATACTTCCTTCTTTGGCATAGTCACTTTAATATTCTATAGCTAAATTATGAAAGGTAGACAAAGCCACCTCCATTTAGAGGTTAATAATAGGTAACTGATGAATAAAGTCTGTTTCCCATAACTTTTCATGTGATAAAAGAATTGAATAGATTAAAAGAACTTTTTTCTTAAGGAGCACAAAAATAGTGAAATTATGTTCTAAACCTGCTCAAGAATCTCTCTCTCTCTCTCATGGAAAGCAAACTCCATAACCAAACTGCCTTAGGAGTTCATATCAGGCAAGCTACCAATGGCTGTGGTTAGCCAGCCATGCCAAGTCTTCTATTAACACCTGCCAACCTCTTGGTGCTAAAATAAAATACAAATATACCCAGAAGTCAGATGTGACCAATGCCGTAACTGACATTTTTCTCAGCAGAGGGGGACATCGTCATGTCCTACCTTAGAAGGTCTGGATTCTACACTGCATGCCCAGAAATCTGGCCAACAGTGGAGTGGCTGTGCTCCTCCCCCACTTGTCTGAGGACAGTGCAGGCCGATTATCCTGACATGGGAGTACATGTCCACTGTCAGGTCTCATAGGGGGGCCTGGCAGCAAGAGTAACAAAAAAGACTGCAATAGAAGTTTTGAAGTTGAGAGCCACATGTCAGATACTTTCTGCCCTTAAAGAGGCTTTTTTTCTTCCTTTTTGCGTCAACTGCAACAAAAGAAGCGAGAATAAAATAAGCAAGTTGCTGTATGGAATACAAGGGCAATCAAAAACCACCACAGAGGCATCGCAGAGAAATGCTGTTGCAAGTACTGAGGATGAAATATCTGCCAGTGGTGGAAACTGTCTCTTTAAAATGAACTAGTGGCTTCCAGGCCCTTTTTGACTTGTCTCCTGGTGATAATCAGTCTTCCAGATGGTTTCTCATTGCCTAATGGTGTACACGAGAAAGTAAACATTTCAGATTATTGAAAAATCAAGTATCATTGCAAAACTACTCTCTTTCAGTTACATGTTTCAGGTGAAACACACTGAAAACATAAAACTAACAAGACTTCTCAAAGTGAAATTGAGAGCAAATAAGGGAAACATCACCCAAGAAGAGCTTTATAGGCAAACAGACCAACAGTACTCAAAAGCACAAGCTCAGAGACATCCATATCTCAATTACATGACAACATAAAAAGGGCTGTGTACCATAAATAAAACAGGTATACAAGTTAAAGCCAGACTACAGCACAAGATGCAGAACAGCTTCCTTAAAATTCCTCCCCATTACTCATGTTTTTCCACCCCAATAATGAATAAATTTGAGCTGACACTGCTAATGGTCAAAGTTAACTCAAAAAGTTCAATTGAGATGGTTAATATCCATCTTGATATGGATAAGGATTCAACACTGTTTGAAATTAATTATTTTATCTTAACTAGATCTCTAAAAATATTTATACATTACGCAATCGACTTACATTTGGTGTTTTATATATTCCTTGAGAAGTGCTTCATCCACAGAATACATCTGCACTCCTGTTCCATCACCATAGTAATACATCACACCACTGTTAAGCTCAGGCTGAAATACTTGGTCAATTCCTTCACCATACAGTTCTTGATAACCAACTGAATACTCAAAGTTCACTTCAAAATAAAGGAGAACATAAAAGAATAACATGAGAAAAAGAAAACAATAACATTATAAACATAGTTTTAAATTTTTGTCTAAGTATCTATTTCTTTGCATACTGCTAGGGTTTCCTCTGCCTCTCCCTCTTCCTCTGCCTCTCCCTTTTCCTCTGCCTCTGGAGAATCCTCGGATGCTGCCACCTTCACTCCTCACGCTGCACACATCATCGTGGTCATCTCTCTTTTCTCTATCACGACGCCAATCTTGAAGAGAAAAAAAGCACATCACACTTAAACATCATGGTGCCAAGAAGACCCTTGTAACAGAAGAGTTCTCAGCTTGCACCCAGGCAATCCATAGACCCAGTTGTGCTGGCTGAGACAGGTGGTCAGAGCTTGAGCTGCAAGAGAGAAAGGGGAAGGTTTGCCAGCTGTGCCTGAGGGTGAGTCAGGCAGGAGGTGTTAGCAATAAGGAGGAGTAAATGGGTTGACTGGCAGTCAATCCAAAATGCTTCTGAAGCAACTGGACACTGGTGCCAGCTCAGGAATCACAGAACCTACGATCAACATGGGACAGGAAGGAATGATCATGAGAATACAGTCTCCTCCTGCAGACAACTCCCAGCTGGAAATCACAGAATTGTAGAATGGTTTGTGTTGGAAAAGACCGTAAAGACCATCCAGTTCCAACTCCCCCTACCATGGGCAGGGACACTTTTCGCTAGACCAGTTTGCTCAGAGCTTCATCCAACCTGGCCATGAACACTTCCAGGGATGGGGCATCCACAGCTTCTCTGGGCAACCTGTTCCAGTGCCTCATCACCCTCACAGTAAGGAATTTTTCCTAATATCTAATCTAAACCTACTTGCTTTCTGTTTAAAACCATTTGCTCTTGTCCTGTCACGACATGCTCTTGTATAATAGTCCCTCTCTGTCTTTCTTACAGGCTCTCTTCAGGTACTGGAAGGCCACAATTAGCTCACCCTGAAGCCTTCTCTTTTCCTGTTTGAACAAACAGGAAAATTCTCTCAGCCTTTCCTCACAGCAGAGTTACTCCATCCTTCTAATAAACTTGGTGGCCTCCTCTGGACTTGCTCCAACAGGTCAATGTCCTTTCTGTGCTGGGGACCCCAGGGCTGGATGCAGCACTGCAGGTGGGGTCTCACCAGAGCACAGCAGAGGGGAAGAATCACATCCCTTGACCTGCTGCCCACAGCGGGCCAGGATACAGTTGGCTTTCTGTGCTGCCAGCACACATGGCTGGCTCATGTCCAGCCTCTCATCCACCTGCACCCCCAAGTCCTTCTTGGCAGGGCTGCTCTCAATCTGGTCATCCCTCAGCCTGTGTTGATAGTCAGGGCTCCGCTGATGCAGATGCAGCACTTTGCCCTTGGCCTTTAAGGTTCCCATGGGTCCACTTCTTGATCTTGTCCAGGTCACTCTGGATGGCATCCCATCCTTCAGGTGTGGCAACCAAACCACTCAACTTGGTGTCACCTGCAAACTGCTGAGGGTGAATTGATCCCTTTGTCCAGCTCTTGATGATCCTACTGCGGATGGGATTCCCATGGCAATGGTTTTCTGGAGTCTCCTTTCTGTTCCTAGAAGCCGCTGCCTTACACTCGCCTGACTCTGCCCATCTAACAGTCCGTTCTCTACTGGTCGTACCTCAAACCAAGACTTTTACTTAAAGAGGCCTTTTTGATAACACACACAAATCTAAGACAAGTCTATAAGAATACATGTAAGGTTTTCATATAAATACATGGTCTGCACATAGCAAGGGAGGGCAAGGGAGAAGCAGAAGAAAGGAAAACAAGCAGGTCCAAACCAGACCCCAGGGACCTTGGCTCCACTCACCAGAAAACTTAGGGACAGGTGTAATTCTCACTTCACTCATTAGAGAAAAGGAAGCCCCTCTCACACAATTTCTTTCTCTTCTCCTAACACTGTCAGAGACTTCCATGTTCAGTTAGTGACCTTTGCTTAAAGTTTCTTTAAGTTGTAATTGGTAGTCTTCCAGATGCCAAGGGACCACTTTGTCAGAGGAATGCTGAGGATACAGCCCCTACTTGATCAAAATGAGAATTGCTAAATTTAAGAAAGGACTGACTAAAGATATGGTTCTTTGTATTAAAAATCTTGTTTTACTATTTTTAATGAACCCTACAACACATGTATGCTCATGTATTCAAGCCATGTATTTTCTGTCAAATAAGACTCTGAATTTACAAATATCATAATCTGTATGTGTGTGTCTCACTGGAAATTTGGACCTTTGCACTTGTTGCCCTCAACGTTAGAGATTCCAAATGCGTATGTATTACTATTTTCCCAAATCAGTTTAATTTTTGCACCCTGAGAGCACCTGTGGCTCAGACACATATTACACCTTCATGAGCAAGTGTTGTATTTAGCCTGAAATGTTTTTTTTTTTATTTCAACACAATGTTTCTGGAAAGAGCAAGAGATGTTCTACATTCTCTCACACTGAAACTGGTCTCGAATCACTAGAGCCTTGAGGCAGAGTTCACACTACATGTTTTTAGTCATTTGACCATCCTGAGAAAAAACTGCTCAAGAAAGTGATAACTGGTAAAAATCCTTCCCCTGTCCATCCCTCAGACATCCAGATCAAACCCTTATATCCACATTCCTAGAATGACTTCATAAATTCCATCTCAGTAGCATGCAGTACTTATTATAATGAGCAAACATTTAAACTGTTAACATATATTGCCATTTTAAAACTTAAACCAAAGACTTACATTCAGCCTAAGATTTCTGCCACCTGACAAGCTATATCCACAACACCTGACGACCTGAAACAGTACTAGCTGTGGTGTTAGTGCAACTTTTCACATGGCCATGCTGAGAAACAGGTCATGGAACTGAGGTCCAGCTTAAAGGTAAAAATGACATCACTAGAACTGCCAAAGCAGAGTTCAAAGTGTAGCTCCACAAGCAGTTGCTCTGGTACCAACAAGCTGTGGTAGCAGAGAGCAGGACAGAGCAGATGCCTTCTAAGGCTATTTCCAAACATTCTGCATTGTAAAACTGTGGGACAAGATTCTGTAGGGAGCCTTGAAGAGGAAAATATATGTTGCTCGTTATTGGGAAATATAAACACTAGGTTTTACTTAGTATAGGCAAAGCTAAGTTTCAACATAAACTGCCAGCTCATGTGGTATTATACTTTATTTGCCACCAATAGCAAGACCCAGAGATTGAGAAGTACTTACTTCTTGCTTCATTCCGTCTGTTGTTATGAGGTATTGACTTGTTTGTTTCCAGCAGAAATCTGGAGCTCGTTCGAGAGCCTGGTCTTTCTTGGCTGCCTGACCTTACATCGTCCAAATGAAGTGGCACCCATTTCTGCTTGTTACCTTGAAAAGTTAATATATTACTCTTAATTATACTAATACTTGAGGCTTCAGCTCCTGAAAGGATTCTATAGAATTCTTCATGTAAAATTAGTAACAGTTAATTTCAAAGTTTAAAAACCAGAAGAAGCTTAACACTGAAATTTTAAGATATTATGAATGATTAAAAAATAAATTCAGTGTATAAGAATTTCTCAAACTGAAATGTAACCTTACCTAACCTTTAAATACACAAAATAAAGGTGAACCTTTTTATTTAACAAACTTTCAGATGTAAGCTCCATTACCAAGAATTTATAGTACATGTAAGTGTATACAGTAAATGTTACTATATAATTTCACAACTTGTATATGAAATTTAGAGGTAACAAAATAACATCTAAAGTTCACCAGTGCAATAAAGATTTCAATCACAAATAAAAATTTTCCTGAGAAGTTAGCTGTGGTACTGTATTTTTACCTCAAAATATTCAGACTAAGTTCATTCACATGCATCAAAAATCATTAGCAAAGCTTTATTTTGTTGTAGGCTGGCCTAAAATGTCCACTACCCGTTTTTTCTTTAACTATAATATTGATTATAGTTAAATTTATTTAACTATAATATTGGGCTTCATATTTTTGTAGCCAAGAAATAAGCAAATATATAAAATGCGCTTTCCACATGGGGGAAAAAGAAAAATAGGCTGTACCTGTGGAATGCTTTGCTTTAGATTTCCACTTAGACTGAAAAAATCAAATGCAGTAGAGGATTTGTTTTTCAATATATACAGGAAGATTAACAAATCTAAACAGCAAAGGTCTTTAGGATCTGAAAAAACACCATCCAGGAAGCAAGATAAAAAAGCAGCTGATGGCAGCAAGATCTTGAAACTCTCTCCACTGTTCCTCCAGCCTACTCCAGTCTCCTGACTAAATGAGATACAGGTTTGTTTCCCATTTTAATGTAACAGATTAGATCAAAAGGAAATAAATAACCTGATTTAGTTTTCAAACGATAACTTCAACATGTAAGCTAATAGTAGAATATGAAAACCAAAGTGTTAGTATATATAGTAACACACACACACACATACACACATATATATAAAGTTAAATTAACATAGTGCTACCTATTTAGGAAAATAAACATATGAGAGACAGTAATGGACTGTACAGCCACGCTAAAATCTTCAAGAAATTGTCAGAGCTTCAAGGACCACCAACTGGACACAAGCTGCTTTTCCCCCAGAACTCCTACTTGACTAAACAGAACACTCCAAAACCTGAGAAAGGAAGCCTTGTTGAAGCTTTCTAGTGGAAAGCAGAAAATATTCTGTTATCACCTAGAAAATGCAAAACATGAAAAGTTTCATCAAGTCATTCAACTGGAATCAATGTAACTGTATCAACAGTGACTTACTGCATTATACACAGTGCCCACACTGACCTTTTTTCCTTTGGTTGTTA